TGAAGGTATTAATAGCGCTTAATTTTTCCATATTTTGTTGTGTTTACAGCCTCATCCCAAAATGTAATTCATTTATTCCCCCCCCTCAAAATTCCACACACCCATGACAGTGTGAATTAATATCATCATTATTATTATTATTATTTTAAGTGTTGCAAAGTTATTAAAGAGAAAAAATGCATGAACAATGAAAAATAAATAATAAATGAATTAATACATTTAAATTTTAGGGGGGGGGGGGGAACGGCCGCACATTGAATGCCATTGATCTTGATCTTGATAACGTTGCTCACCTCAGCAGGACATCATTTGGTCAAGGGCTGAAATGACAGACTTTCAAGTCTTCCAATGAAGGGTTAGGCCGGGCAAAAGCTGCTTTAAATAGCCTCTCCCTCATTGGATGCTCAATTATTGATTGATGGTAAAAAGCTGCTGGCTTCATTACCATCCTAAAAGTGCTTGGGGTGTGCATGTGTGGGGGGGTAATGCATGTAAAAGTGGGCTAACTGCACCGCACTTGAGTCACAGATGGCTCGCTAAGTAAGTCACTATCGCTGCGAGCGAGAAGACGGCGACGACCAGGAAGAAGGGCAGACGGGAGTTGTCGCTATCACACGCGAGCCGGTGTCGGTGCGCCGGCGAAACACGGATTCACCGCGCGGCGGATGACGATCTGTTGGATGCGCTCGAGGGGAGCTCGGAGCAACGTCCCGGCGAGATCCTCCACCTCCTCCCACCCCCTCTCAAGCGCTAGGACTCACTCTTTTTGTCAAAAAATGGCTAGAGCAGATGCACAGAATGCAGTATACAAGGGCGTCTGCTGAACACAAACCAAAATTAGTCGATGGTGACCCGCACGAAAGATAAGGCAGGCAGGGAATGAAGCAAACAATGTTTTCAGATTAATTTGGAAGCTCAATGGTCTTCAGATGAACTTGGCAGCTGACGTCACGTGTGTCATAAACACCAAACTGCCTTGTCATCCCAATGCAAACAGACACTTGTTTCCATTATCTCCAAATGAAAGGTTTCATTTTATCTCATAGGTAAGTGGAATATACTTAAAGACTACCTCATAATAAATGCATATATTAAAAATAAAATTAAAAAGTCATTTATGTAGGTCACTTGAAGTGAGTGCATTAAGATGATTGAATTATTCATGATAATTTGGGCACCTAGAAGGGTGACTCAAAATGGAGGAATCTTTAATAGACACTAGAATTTTATATTATGCATCTTATACATGGGAATCGCACCCTTTCATAATGTTATTGGAGCGAATCTAATTGCATCATAATTTCAGTGAATCACATCACGTCACAGAAGCTTTTTTTATACTGAACTGGGAATTGGTATGAATCTGATCGTGAATTGTATCGTCGCAGGAGTCGATCGCAGCATATCGAAACTGGAGTGAATGGCGTCACATTGGAGTATCTGTGGCTCGCCTCGTATCATAGTTTGAGTGAATCGTACTAAATTGTGATTGGAGCAAGTCATAATTACAGCGAATGGGATCGCAATACATTGATACTTATCGTGACTCTATATGTCGTCATGTAATTGGAGAGAGTATCATAAATGAAGTGAATATTATAATTTGAGCAAGTCGGAGTGCATTCGTCCGTATCGTAGCAATTTTATACTGTCTGTCTCCTGACTGTAATATCGTAATGGATTTGGAGTGAAACGTATCATAATCAAATCATTTCGCAAATGAATCAAATCTCACTTTATAGTAATTGGAGTGAATCACGTGGAATCAGACTAGGTTTATATACATCATTCTCGTATTGTAATTAGGCTAAATCGCATTGCATCCCACTGGAGTAACCTTCCTTATACATATTGTGACAGAATCATGTTGTAATTGGAGTTCAGTCTTGAAGTGAATCTGACCTTTGTTGGAATTGTGGTGAATCACGTCACAGCAGAGTAGCTTTGTTAGTATCGTGAATATATATGGAACTGGATTGAAACATATCGTGGTCGCTTTCTCCCAATGGTGAATTTACCATCTTGAACTTGCCATGCAATGTATTGTTGTCATAGAGAATCCAATCCAATCGAATGCTAACTGGAGTGGATCACAGTTTGGAGTTAATAGTAACTTACCTGACCTGATTTGCATCAGCATTGGAGGGAATTAAATCATGATTTAAGTGAATCACGTTGGACTAGCTCTGTGACTGTATCACGTTGTTTTATTGTAATCGGACTGAATCGCATCATTAGTGACATGAATCTGATGGCTCGGAGTATCTCGATATGAATCGTACTCGTTGTATCATAATTGGAGTGAATGATAACGAAATAAAAGTGTCCTCGACTCTGACTTGTTGTGTACGTTGATAATTACAGTAAGGCTGCCGCAGGAGTCCTTCGCTCCAGCGCCCCCCACCCCCACCCCTCCGTCTGAGGTGGTCCGGGTTAAATTGGGTTGAAAATGAGATTGGATCTTGTAATAGCAGGAAGCTGAACTTGGCTGTGTGCGCGTTAATAGAGTGCGAGCGTGGGAGAATTCGGGTGTTACGCCGCGAATGGGACGCGAGCAGGTGGAAGGTGCCGCCGCGTTCGTGAACAGACATGAAGTCAATTAGGCAGCCGGGCGGGAGTGTGAAGTGCGCAGGAAGGAAGGAAGGAAGGACTAAGGGTGAGGGAAAGGGGGGGCAGACAGCCACCTTTGCAAAAGAGGCTTTACTTAGACCTTCCTTGAAAATGACTTCCTGATCAATCGCTTGCCAAATGTGGTGGGGGGTTTTCTCCGGCGCGTTTCCATACCCCAAAACTTGGGGACAATGTTACTCCATGGGGATGAGTGGTTCTCAGACTTTTAAAGTGCCACCCAAAAAAATATTGTGGCACCCTGAGATACAAGTTCAGGTTGTTCCGTGACCACGGTGCAATCAAAAACATTCAAATATCTATGGCAAAGATGTCAATTCCTTTGAAATGAATGGAAAGGCCATTAATTCGTTCCAGACCCCCCAAAAACTAAATCTGTCAAAGTACTTTTCTTGGTTTTAAGACCCAGCAAGCCACCAAATCATAAGCTACACTAGTCGACAGTATACAGATATTGTGTTTTACAACAATACTTAATGTCATGGGGCATCTCTTTTCTAGTTTTGGTCACTTGCCGCTGCACTGCGAGCCCAAGGGCACTTCAATGTCAGTTTTAGTCAACAACAAAGCAACACGCTGAGATTGATGAAACCTGATGCGCTAATCGGCCTAATTCTTACTCCACAAAGCACTATTAATCAGAACATCTTGTTTGGGCGAGGAGGCACAGAAATAAGAAAATAATTGCGTTGACTTCCCCTTTAAGGACAGTTGGTGTACAAGATACAAGATATGACTTTCCGAAGTGGCCCAAAGGACCAATCTGGGGTCTTCCTGGGGTGGGCGCAGAGCAAGCGCGACAGTTGATTACAATAGCTCCCAGGTGCGTGCCTCCGTGCACCCCCTCGGGGAAGCAGGAATGAGCCAAATGACAGAACAAAACAAAATAGAACTCCGAGTGGATCACGACTATCAAACACTATCAAAGAAAGTCTCATCAGATCTTCATTTAAAAAAAAAAAAGTAGCTTCATCTTTGCTCCCCGCTTCACCTTCTCAATTCATTTTAATTACTGCCGCGTAGCTTCTCTTCGCCTAATTGTCACTTACTTTATTTTCATCATTGATTCACTCTTAATTCCAGTCGACTCCGACGCCCCGCGAACATGTTTCAACGACGCTCTCTTTGTTGAGAACCTCTTTGATGCGCGTTTTAGTCTGCGAGGCGCTCGTTATGAGCATTGGTTATTATTATTAAAGGTTGAGAGAGGTAGCCTATCGTGACAGATTGGCCACCTGTGTGTGTGTCTCAGCGGGGGAGTCGCTTTCAATTAAAGCCCGCTGTCTTTAGCAGTGCAAATACGCAATTTAGCTAATTGCTACCGAGGCTCAACTGAGGATGACGGCGAGGGACGGACCGCTTCGCCCGGGCCTTCTCGCACACCATTAGTAGGACGGACCCCCACCGTCTGCCCCGGCGGGGACGACACTGTGACACGCTCGTTAATAATACATTAATGAAGGTGGCCGCCCCTTTGATAATGGGGGTGTTGGAAGAGGGCCAGGCAATCACCTCGCCGGTGTAATCCAACCGCAGGTTAAATAAGCTTTTGTTCGCAGGGGAGCAGAGTGAAACATGGAGGTGGCGAGCGTTAGGGGAGGGGTGGCGGGCATAGAGGAGGTTTTGTCTGGGACGCAGGTGGAAATGTGAAACTGTGAAGAAGCGGCACTTAAAAATTGTTGTCTGCGAGCGTCGTCGTCGTGTGATGGTGTTTGACGGTTGCAGTGGCGTAAAGTAGGGCCCGGGGGGGGGGGGGGGGGGGGGTGGCAGTTACCTCCTGGTTCACCTTTTTATGGGGGTGGGGTGCAAAATTTTAGCAGAAAGAAAAAAACTGTTGGAGAAGAGGTTGCATTGGTCACCTTTGTGAAAAACACTTGACTTGAAGTTTAATTCATTCCATGACCAAGCTCAAATGTTTTTCAATATTTAAATGTTTTTTTTGGGTTTTTTTTTTTTTAAAGAAATGAATTTAATGGCAGCACTAGCAATACTAAGCTAGCATTAGCAAGCCGATGGTAGCCACGGCTGCATTGTTGGTAGTATGACATATTCGTAATGATGATAATGATTGTGTGGTTCTCAAATGTTTTGCACCAAGAGTCACTTAAAAAAATATATAAATAAATAAAAACCGATCTTTCCAAGTACCACCATAGTGAGATCAATATTAAAATATGGTGATGATTCAATTAAAATATTGAATATGAATGTTGACATTTATTTTTTTACCTAAATTAAAGTTTTGAAAACATTTCGTGGTACTAATACCTCACTCAAGTGATATCAATTTGATGTTTTATTTTTTGAGGTCTGTTCACTTTGATTCTGATTGTTCATCTGATGCAGAGTTGTTTTCTTTTCATTTTCCGAAGGTGGATATTTCGTTGCAGATTCAGCAAAACTCCCGAAGCCCAAGTTCACAGGTCAGTTTGAGTGCGGATATCGCAAATTCCCCTTTAAGGGCACATGCGTGTACACACGATACAGTAAAATTTATTTGGACATTTTATGCCGGACTGTACGGTATAAAAAAGATTCACACGTAACAACGTGCATTGTGATTGCTGTCACCGGACGTCGACATTGTTTTCCACGAGTTCCACTGCTGCCTTTTCCCCCGCTTTCCAAAGCGTGCAATCAACAAACAAACCCACAATAAAGCAGTTAGGGCTTCAATATTTTAAATACCTGCTCTTCTCGCGCCATCACTTTCCCCCCGTCCCATCCCGTCTCACGCCGCGTTGGCTTGTCGGTTTTGGCAGCCTCTCGCCGCCGTGTAGAAATATTGCGGGTGATATCAGAAGGAGATTCTAATCACAGGGGTGTTGTGTTAGCGCCGGCACAAAAAAGCAAGAACAAGAGTTTCCCGCCTGTCAGCCCTGGTGCACGCCAGCCTCTGTCAGCCGGCGATACGCCTCCAGACACGTCTGCCGCCGCTCGGCAAAGTGCGGCAAACTTAACAGCGGCCCGGGAACAAAGGGAATGAGCAAGTGATGGGGAAAATAAGACGGGATGCAATGTTTCCTAGAGTCAAATACAGTATGTTGAAGCAGAGCCTTGAGAGGATGCCTTCTATCTATGTGTGTGTGTGTGTGTGTGTGTGTGTGTGTGTGTGTGTGTGTGTGTGTGTGTGTGTGTGTGTGCGCGCGCGTGCGCGCACGCGCGGGCATGAAGGTAAAATGTATCATGTGGTGTCATGTGGGGACATAAATGTGTTTACATAGAGAAATTATGGTTGTGTGAGTGAGCATGATGCAGGTGGACTGAGATGGGGCTTTTCCTTCCAGTGTAAGAAGGAAAACAAACATTGATACTTGTGACTAGAGGGGAAACTTGATCAGGATGCCTCTAAAAATACAGTTTTCCTCTTCTGGACACATCCTGTCCACATGAATGCACACTGCGGTACCCAGCGCAAGTATTCCCACTTCCTTCCGTGTTTCCCCACTTGTCTTATGAAGTAGGGAACTGCCGCTTCCTTTGGACACAAGAACAAACCATTTATGCACGACTAAAAGTGTGTGTGTGCGCGCGTGCGCGCACGCGCGGGCATGAAGGTAAACACAACCATTAAGTTGCTAACTGGGAGGGAGCACACGGGGAATTTGTCCTTTTGTTTCTCATCCCAGCACACCTTTTGTTTAGTTTTCCCGCTCGCGCGGTTGCCGCCGATGTTACACATCCCTCAGTCGAGCGTTTAATTGGAGCGTCAGCTGACAAAATGCAGCCAAAAGCGCGGCGACGTCAGCCCACCAATCACATCAAACGCTGTCAAAACACAGCAAACGCCATATCGGGCTTGTATCACTGATTTCTACACAGGGGCAATTTCCAAAGTCAAATTGTTCCCTTGTTGAACTATTGAAATTCAAAATGCTACCCTAAACCAAATCCTGAAACCGAACACTGGCATTATATTAAGGTGATAAACCAAACCAACCTAACCCAAACCAACCCTAAAATGATTCCTCATCCAACCCTAACCGAACAAACCCCAAATGAAACTCATTCTCACCTAATTTAACCCAAAATAACTGTTACCCAACCAAACCAACCCTAAAATCAAACGTAATCTAATTCCTGTCTCATCCTGAACTAAACCAACCCAAATTTAACATAACCGAACATTACCAAACTGTACATAACCCAAAACATAACTCCACCTCGAACTGTACCTATACTGGAAAAAAATACTTCTTTAGATTTCTCAAAGAACGATTTTGACGGTTTTCTCTGAAAAAAAAAAAAATAATTTAAACCAATTTTTTTTGTTCAAGAATAACAACAAAATTCTCAATCAAAATATGATGTATTTTCTTATAATAAATGTTTTTAAGAATGTAACGTTTGTTCTTGACGACCTACTAATTTCGACTCTCACGAAACTACTTTTTTTTCCTCAATGAAATGAAATATCTCGTTACAATGCGAACTTTGCCAAGAACATAAAACTAATTTATTTATTTTTTTAAATGTGGCATCAGATGTGGCAAGCTTAGTCGTTGATCCAGTCGGCATCCTTCATTTCCACCGTAGTGAAGACGCCGGCAGCGAAAGACGAGCCGTGACTGTGATAAATAAGTCAGCGCGCAAATAAAACCAGTGGCGAGTGGATTAAAACCAAAGTCAGTCCCGTCCAATTAGACGGCAAAGAAGCAATGTTCCTTCTAAAGTCGGATAATTCCAAAGTCCCTCATGTTCCCTCCCCCTTGCCCCTCGCTCATCTCCACATGAAAAGAAATTGTCCCAAAGTAAGTTCTTAAAAGAGCTTGAAATCATTAAGCGGGACTTTTCAAAGCGCGGCTGATGGAAAGCCAATGGGAAAGTCCTGCCACTTTAATGTGAAGGAGAAGAAGAAGAAGAAGAAGAAGAAGATGGGGCCCTTTCACACCAAGCGAATATATTGAATGTTTGAAAGAATCACAGGGCGTCTTTGGTCCTCGTGCCCACTGGGAGCCGAGCGCCAACCAGCCAAACTTTCAACAGCATCCCTTCAAGCCAGATCCCCGACCGCCCGCCCGCCCGC